ACAACCATCCAAACAAGATGTAACCTTATATTGTTCTATCCTTTATGTTAAGGGTGACTGTACAATGTCTGTGGAGGCCACATGCCCACACAATACAAACTAAGGGGAATTACGGCAAGGTAAATAACTGTCAAAGTTTCAAGAGTAACTAAATTTGTAGTTACACAATTGAGGGGAAATGGCAATTAGATTTATGCCGAGCAGTAATCTAAATTAGCAAAGGAAACTATCTAATTCTTCAATCTAAACACTAATTAATTTTTACCAAGAAAATCCATAATACACTATCATAAAAAACCATGATTTCCTCCTGAGAATTAATTATCTCTTGTTAGAATAGAACTTTGAATTGAGGATCGCAACAATCTAAACACATTGAAATATCAATATAAACAGTTTGAAAAATCTATTTTTCTCCCTATGTTCAGTGATAACATTAAGTTGAAAATTAAACTCAAAAGAAAGACAAAAACAAAAATTACTTTCAATGTCACATCTAGTACTCAGATGCAACAAACTGTGGAAAACGTTTCTCACAAGCATTGAAATTTTTCTCAAGATTCAGTTTTTCATGTTTGTCATATTATCTCATATTTAGTTATCTGTGCTATGCTTTCCATATTACTTGTTGTATATACTTGCTGTAACACCCCAGAATTTTTTTCAGCAAAGACTTGAACCATGCTTCGTTGTGAGTAGGATTTTACCAAGAAATTTAAAATTTCTTATGTATTTGAGAGGAGTTGGGTTTCTTTTTAATTCTAATTGGAGTGACTTAAATGGAAGAATTTTAGTCTAAAAGGGTTTTATAATTGCTAGGAAATGTAATGAATAAAAGGGACTCAACTTAGGAAAAGAATTAAGGACCCACAAAGTTAAACTTAAAAGTTTTCACTAAACCCGTCTAAGTTCGTCCTCTTAGACAATGCTTCACTATTTTGGGAATAACTTTTTACTCCGAGATCGGAAAAGGGCAAACTCGGTGGCGTTGGAAAGAGGACTCAGATACCTTTAATTGGATAGGTAATGGTCCACCTAATTCGTTTTGAGCTAAAAGATATCATCATTTGAAGTTGACCCTAAAAGTCGTAACTTTAAAAAATCTCCCCCTTGCCCGTCTGTTCCAGTGGGATTACTCAAAGGCTGGTCAACTGGGCAGTCCACTAGGCTAGCTCGCTAGCCTAGGTCCTTGCTTGCACCCTAGGATGCTACCTAGCTCCATTTAAGTTCTAAAACAGCATAAACATCAACCTAAGCCCCCACTAACCCAAACGTCAAGGCTCAAGTTCATTTTATCATTTTCCGAGTCGTTACATCTACCTAGACTTATCAGCCTTGCACTTGGTTCTTAAGTCATTATATTGAAGTAATTGTACACTTGCTTTCATGTATGTACATACCCCCTATTTCAAGCAACTGTGATTTTGATTCTTTTTCCAATCTTGTAATTTATGAATAATATTTTTTCTTCTTCTCCCATATGTATCATGTCTTAATCTTTTGATCAAAGATCAAAACAACTCAATCTGCATCTACAACTAACTTTCTATACAATGTATCACATTTTTGTTATTATGTAAAATAAGTGTACATAACTATCTTGTAAAACTTAGTTCCTTAAAATATCAACAAACGATTAATATGCAAGGTCATCTTACGCTACATACTTGTAATCCAACTTTTAATTGATATCAAGTTATGATATTTATTATAGAAATCATTTTCTCATTTCAAAAGAGAAAAAAAACTTATTTTCTAGAGGAAAGATGTTGCAAAAATTTTAGCTCATCAAATATAGAAAATTAACATTTTACAGAACACACCGATAGATTCATCAAATTTTTTTCTCCAATTTCACATAAAAACAAATTTAACACAAAAAAAGGAATATTACATAATAATATTGGGCCCGTGCTGGCACGGGCCATTACTTTCTAGTATCATATAATAAGAATTAGAGCTAGAGTTATAAGTAATGATTTAACACAATCCAATAGTTTTGATCAAAATCATTTGTTTGTGTGAATAAATATATTGAAAAGGCATAATACATAAATATGCCCCTTTAACTTGGGCTCATTTCATATTTATGTCTTCCAACTTTGTTTGTACATAAGGAAACACTTGAATTTATATAAAGTTGAACAAATAGACGCATACATCATACTTGACATCCTACATGTCCTATGTGTATTATGTCACATAGGAGTACTCATGTGTCTACTTGTTCAACTTTACAAAAATTTAAGTGTCTACCTGTGCAAACCTAAAATTGAAGGGCATAAATGTGAAATGAGCCTAAATTAAAAGACACAATTATATATTAATCCTGTTAAAAATGTGTAAATAATCTATCTAGAATCTAATAAGCAGCCTTTATTTTCTAAAATCGAAAACTCATAAATTTAAAATTCTAAATTTTCCTCTACTTTTGATTGACCTCCAACGTAACGTGCTACCTTATATAATGCTAAGAATTAAGATCATCAATCATGATTATGAATGAATTTAATTAGCCGTCTATGAGAATTATTAAAGATTATTCAGCTAATTAATTACTTGTTTTAGATTTTTACAAGTGATTTTTTGTTAGACATCATAATCCATATGATAATCTTGTTAAGTTAAACTACTAATAAAATAATTTATACAGGTTCCTACCGGTGGACCTAAACCCGTTGGATCTTAATTAATCATAATAATTTATCTCAACTAAAGATTTTTTTTCTCCTAAACAATTATTGTACATGCAAGTTATTTATTGATAATATTATATTAAAATAAATTAGAGGGTAGGTAGTTAATTGTAAATATGGAAAAGGCTCAGATATATCATTAGATTTTGAGAAAAAAAATCATTTATGTTATCGTTAAAAGTTTGGTTCATCTATGTTATTTCCATTTGAGAAAAGTCTCCATTCATATCATTATTTGTTAACAGTTTTGAATTTGCTAAACCATTTTCGACACATGGTCAATTATAATTCGGCCACGTCATTAATTAAATTATTTTTAAAGAAAAAAGGACTCAAATATACAATCGAACTTTGAGAAAGACTCATTTATTCCATATGTTACAAGTTTGGCTTATCAATGCCATTTCAGTTAACAAATAATGGCATGGATAAACCTTTTCTCAAACGAAAATGATATAGATGAGCCAAACTTTTAACAAATGACTTAAATGAACCTTTTTTCAAAGTTCGATGACATATTTGAACATTTTTCCTTGAAAATAAGTCGAGTTAAAGAGAATGTAAAGTTTTTATATGATATGTTTTATTACCCTTGTGATATGTTAGTTTTATACTATTACTCCATATTAAGGGCAAGATATAATTCTGAAAGTAGTCTAAATATAGCATATTATCTACATAAAGAAACAAAAATCACATTTTAATTAATTGAAGCTTACATGTATTTATTCATATACAACAATAATAATAGATCCACTGTACTCCCACAAATGGGGTTTGAAGAGTGTTACCCCTACCTTGAAAAGACAGAGAGATTGTTTCAGTAGACCCTCAGTTGTCTCACTTTAACCAAGGTAATCTACAAGAACCAAGGTCTTGGACTTTTCACCTCACTTGCCTTATGGGAAGAACTTCAAGTTTAAGAGATTTTGAACTTTGACCTTGAAGGTTTTCCCACAGGGCAAGCTGCATCAAAAGTTCAAGCCAGAATTGTCATCAGACCCAACAGTTCCAACTTCCTTTAGCCAAGCCTAACCTGTTTTGTTGGTCGACTACCACATCGCAAAATAGATCTCGCCAATCAGCTGTATTCCGTCGACTATGGTCATATGCTTCCTGCAAAATCTGGCGAAAGTTCGCGTGATTTACATGGAAAGGTGTGCCGATGATATTGTGAAATGAAGATGTCCCATCACCAGCTTCTGAAAGACGAAGGCCCCAGAATATGACTTTATGAATGTGATGATCATCAGTGCCATTATTAAGACTATATGACATAACATCTCCTACTTCAGTAATGGATGATTCTCTCCACAAGGGTATCAACCTCCTTTCCTCAAAATTACTCCAAGGATCTCGAAACTGGAGTTTTGGCAATGTTCTTCCTACTGTTGCATAGAATGGATGGACGCCACACTTTGTCACTTTTAACCCTGTGAATCCTTGCTCCCTGATACTGAACGAAAATGTAATTTGTTCTCCACCTTCTAAAGCTGGACAAAAGTAATCTCCTGGTATGAAGGTCACCCAAGAACGTTTGTCAGCGGTTACAGTAATATCGGGGAAGCAAAGGACCCATGTAACCTTATTGGTCTGATCACCGACCCCTGGAAGTTATGTTCTATGTTTGGTGGCATTGTTAAGGTTCTATTAGATCCTATGTTTCGGTTGCTGAACCATTCTGGAACCTCGCTACCTGCAATATAGTAGCTGCTTGGATAAGGAAGATCTTCATCACATTCTCCCATCTGTATAAAATAAAACATAAATGGTGTGAGTTGCACTTAATTGTAGTAGTACAAAGATGAGATGAATAGAGGAACTAACTAACCAGCTGGAAGAAACTTTCATTAAAGAAACGTCTTGCCAGCTTGCTATTGCTCTTTATGCAAACATATTCAACATTTTCGATAGTTTCCATGCCCTTAATCTCAGACAATCTGTCGCAATTAGATACACAGACCTGTGGCAGTATCCTGTAATTGGACATGTCTAGACTTTCAATGGATGAACAATCATTTGCATGGAGCACTTGCAGATTAGAAGGAAGTAGTGAGAGCATTTGAAGATTCTTGCAATTATCCAGGACAAGACACTCTAGCTCAGATAGGTCGCAAAAGAGGGATGATGGGAGAGTGTAAAAATCATTTCCTCATAAATTCAGGTATATGAATGAGGTTAATTCCCAAGATTGGTGGGAATATCTGCTTCTGAAAGCCTACAATCGTTAAGATTGAGCACCGTCAAGTGACTTAAACGGGAAAGGGAATGTGGCAACAACCTCTCTAGATACGATGAACTACTTCATGCCCATGGTACATAAGATAAAATAGAAGTCAGCCAAGATTGAGCCTTTAAACTTCTGTTGCATCCTTGTAATGATAAGCTTCTTAGGTTTTTCAAGTGTCCCAAATCAGCAGGCAGCTGTTGTAGACCCGAGCAACCTGACATATCTAGATGTTGAAGTGATTCTAGCTTGCAAATGTTGCTTGGTAGATTCTTGAGGCTTACACAGTCTTCCAGATTTAAGTAAACAAGTTTCACCAAATATTTTATTGATGAATCAATCTCACCCAACTCGGAGCAACCTGTAAACAATATTGTCTCAAGACTTATCGCCCTTGAAAAATCAGGAGTCCGCTTTAGTCGTTGACAATGACTGAGATTTAGATTCGCTTTAGTCGGTGACAATGACTGAGATTTAGATATGCCAGGTTTTCCAGGGGCTGATTCATAGAAATAATAATATATTCATTAGTATCTATAGTTCGCTTAATCTAAAATTGTATTATATCTAAACCTTGAAAAACTTAGAATAAGGTTTTTTTAGCAATAAACCTTGATGGTGGATTGCCAAACTTCCATGATGTTGCTATATTGCATGTCCAGAGCCACAAGTTTGGTTAGATGAATATCAGTAGGTAAACATTTCAAAGGGAAATTTTGCCAACTTAGCCATCTTAGGTCCTCAAACAAATTTTTGAAGCTTCCAGTAAAATTCATTCCTTTTGCTTGAAATATTTTCAACCTATCCACTTTAAAATTTAAAAAAAAATTTAAACTTTAATTTCCTTATTTAAATAAAACGTGAATATAAAAACTGAGTTACTAACTAATTTAACGTGATATAACCATTTTTTAAAAATATATAAAATTTATGTAAACATAAAATATAAAAAAAATAAATTTGAATGATCCACTTAAAAATTAAAAAGTTTAAAACTTTAATTTCCTTATTTAAATAAATATTATGAATATAAAAATTGAGTTACTAACTAAATATTTTCATGTTTTATTTTTAAAAATTAAACATTTATTTACGATTAGAATTTAAATAGTCAGTTTTATAACTTCCCATTACATTTCCACGTACACACAAACTCTTAAAATTTATTAACAAAAAATTAATAAAATGAACAAAATTAGATTTTGTCAAAAATAAAAATAAATTAAAATTTACTTGGAAACTCACTAAATATGATTACTATAAAAGAGTAAATCGTGGTTTTTTTTGCCCCTTTTTAATAGCAACTACATGTCAAGCTTTAATTAATTTATCTCCAATTGTTATAAAAATAAAGATGAATATATTTTTTTTAAAGTAAAGGTTAAAGAAAAATAAATCGTGCAACATATAAGTTGGGTTATTCAATTATGAATTTGAATAGTACATATTCTTAGCTAAATATATTAATTTCAAGAAGAATTATTTTTAAAATCAAGTTCATTTATTTAAAAAAATGGATAACTACCCCTATATAAACTGTATACAAATAGTTATTTACCTCATTAATTTATGGTATAATAAAGTACTACAAAAAACTATTACGTTTATGCCTAAATTTTGTATTGATAAAAAATATAACTGTATCTTTTTCTTTTCTTTTTTTACAAATAACATAAATATTAATGGGAAGAAAATAATAAGCTAAAGTTACTTTTTAGGTGGACGTGCAGCTTGGAAACGAAGTGATGGGATCATGTTAGAAGTTATTTATTTGAAATGTAAATTTTTTAAATAGTTACTATACTTAAGATAAAGGCTATGAACTGTCTTTTAACTTTTAGAATTTTAAAACCTATAAAATGTACATAAATTCTAAAAAGGAAATGGTACAAAAGAGACATATTATTATAAGGTTTCAAAGAATTGAAAATTATTTTGTCAAAAGTGAAATAAATAATAGTACATTTAATTAATTGGGAATTATTAAAGAAAAGCTAAAAAAAATATTAGGCCATTAAATAATATATTATACTACTAGAAAAAATTGCAAGTTCCTTGATATCTGTTTATTGATAAAGATATAGGTTATTATTTTCTTTCTGTGAAAAGTTAAAATCTTAATTTATAATTTTAAAAATAACATTACAAGTAAATGACTTATTATTTGTAATTAACTAATTTCAATGATATATATATATATATTTGATCTATTCTGCGCAACGCGCGGGTACATATACTAGTACAACAATAATAACAGACCCACTATAATTTCACAAGTGGGGTTTGAGGAGGGTAGTGTGTACACAAACTTTACCGATTCCAGTAGACCCTCAGTTGTCTATAATATTTACCGTTAGGTCAGTCCTAATACATTGGGCCCTTTGTCTCACTTTAACCAAGGTAATCTACAAGAACCACGTTTTTGGACTTTTGACCTCACTTGCGTTATGGGAAGAACTTCAAGTTTAAGAGATTTTGAACTTTGTAATGTGATGTGAAGATGAGCTACTGTCAGTTAGAAGTTAGTTAATGTTAGTTAGGCTGTTAAAAGTGAAAGGGTAGATCAGTCATTTTATAATAATTAGTTGTAACTACCTAGCATAGAGTTAGTTAGTAAGATTAGTTACAAGTCACAATAAGAGAGTTATAAATACTGTGACTCACTCAATGTAATCTTCTTCTTCTTAATACAAAATATCTGAGATGTTCATGGAGCTCTCATTGTTGCTCTGATTGAGTTCTTTCGTTTTACCTTCATGGTATCAAAGCTTTACCTTCACAGTGCTTACTGTTGAAGACGAGTTGTGCAAAAGATCAAAGAATCAATTTCTGATTCATCGATTCATCTATATCATCAGAATTCATTACAGATCTGAGCTTGGAGCTGAATTCTGTGGTGAATAATTGTTGATTTTTCTCTGGTTTTGCTTCCGCGACAACAATTTATCAAGGATCTAATATGGTGAATGATCAAATAGTTGTGGATCAGTCTCCAATCATCAACAATGGCCAAGGAACTACTGGTTCCTTACATGGCAACATTGGAACATGACACTATAATCATACTCTGTTTCTCAGTCCTACTGATGTTAGTGGCATTAGCATCATCTCGTTTCAACTAGTAGGTGTTGAAAACTATACTCTGTGGAATCGATCTATTAGGCTAGCTCTGTTAGGGAGGAATAAAATAGGGCTAATTAATGGATCTTCTCGAAAAGAGGTTTATAGTGAGGAATTATGGGGACAATGGGAAAGAGTGAATGCCATTGTATAATCATGGCTTATGAATTCAGTTTCGAAGAGTTTACTGAGTGGTATAGCATTTGCTACTACTGCTTTTGATGTTTGGACTAATTTAAAAGAGAGATTTGACAGAGTGGATGGATCTAGATCTTACAGTTTACACAGATATTTCTTCCTTGCAACAGGGTAATATGTCTGTTTCTGTATACTATACAAGGCTTAAAAATCTATGGGATGAATTTGAGGCTTTAGTGCCTTCTCCTTTTTGTAATTGTGATAGATCCAAAGGATTTGTGATCCATCTTAACAGGCAGAAGTTGTATCAGTTTTTGATGGGATTAAATGACTCATATCATCAGGCTAGAAGTCAGATTCTTCTCATGGATCCATTACCAATTATTAATCAGGCGTATGGAATGATAGTGGGGGATGAGAGTCAAAAGGCTATGGTTACTCACACTAATAACACTAGTAGTATGGGCATGAGTTTCATTAGTGAGGATTCAGTAGCTCTGTACTCCAAGGTTGGTAGTAATTCTGGGTAAATCAGAAGTTTAAAAGGAATTCTATGCTAGTGTGTAAGTTCTGTAAATGTAAGGGACATAGTAAGGAGTTCTGCTACAAGGTGATAGGATATCCTCCTGACTTCAAATCCAAAAGAAAGACTCAAGGTGTTACTTCTGGTCAGGTAACAGCTGATGCTGGTCACACTAATACATCAACATCTCAGGAAAACTTCTCATATGGTATGAACACTAATGTTCATATACCAAGTAGAAGTACAAAGGGTGAATCATCCACAGCTAACATGAATGCTAACTTAGCTGGCAATAACCACAATAGGACAGTGAGCCAAGCTGAGAAGGATGTTCAACAACTTCTTCAGGGCTGCACTTTCACAAAGGATCAGTATGATCACATACTCCACATGTTTCAGCAAAGGTCAGAACCTGTTGTAGTAGCCTGCAATGCTACTCATTCAACAGGTAATGTGTTTTTTGTCTCTGAAAATAGTGATCTTTGGATTATGGACACTGGGCAACTAATCACATGGTGTCTAATTTGGATATGTTGATTAAAGAGTCTGTATCAAAACTGGAAGTTCCTAAGACAGTATACCTTCCAAATGGTGATGCTACTCAAGTTACTCATGTTGGATCATGTGCATTATCTACTAGAAGTGTTCTTACAGATGTGTTTCATCTTCCAGAGTTCAAATATAACTTGATGTCTGTCAGTAAGATCACTAAGGAATTAGACTGTTCAGTCACCTTTTCCCCTCATTTTTGTGTATTCCAGGAGCTTTACAGTGGGAAGGTGAAGGAGGTTGGTAGAGAGGCCGGAGGTCTGTATTTGCTGTTGCATCAGTTAGTTGATAAAAAGAAGGAGTCTGCATTGAAGGTTGCATTTGTTGCTACCAATCCAAGCTCAGAGTGTCATGATTCAGATATGGAACTATGGCATAAGAGATTAGGGCACGTTTCATCAACAGTTCTTGCTAGAATGTTTGATATGAATAAGCAGAGTTTGTGTCGGATTTCTAAGTGTTTAGTGTGTCCATATGCTAAACAAACAAGAGTAGTTTTTCCTACTAATAGTATCAAAAGTAAATGTTGTTTTGACTTGCTACATATTGACCTATGGGGTCCTTACAATACTCCTACTTGTGATGGCAATAAGTACTTTCTTACTATTGTTGATGACTTCTCCAGAATGACTTGGCTATTCTTACTTAAACTCAAGTCTGATGTTTGTGTTTCATTGTAAGTATTCTTACAGTTTTTCAAGACACAGTTTGGTAAAATGGTGAAAATAATAAGAACTGATAATGGCATAGAGTTTGTCAATTCTGTTTGTGATCAAATGTTCAAAGATATGGGGATTATACATCAAAGAACTTGTCCATATACCCCACAACAAAATGGGGTAGCTGAGAGGAAACATAGGCACATACTTGAAGTTACTAGGGCTATGATGTTTCAAGCACAAGTACATTTAAGATATTGGGGACACTGTGTTCTAGCTGCAGCTTATGTTATTAACAGACTTCCCAGCAAGGTTATCAATTTTCAAACTCCCTATGAGAGATTGTATGGTACTCCACCTGTATTAAGTCATTTGAGGACACTTGGATGTTTATGTTTTGCCAAAGATCTATCTGTTCATGACAAATTGATGCCAAGAACAAGAATGGCTGTACATATGGGATATTCAGAAGTACAGAAGGGGTATTTACTGTTAGATTTGAGCAACAACTCCTTTTTCACAAGTAGATATGTGTTGTTTAGAGAAGAAATATTCCCATTTTCTCAAAGTAAAAACCAGGTTGGTGAACCTGTATTTACAGATCCTTTGCAGGATACAGGTGTTTTGTTTCCTCACTTAGATCTTGCTTCACTACCTCCTTGTGGTCCATCATCAGATGATGTTTTACAGCAGTGTGATGATTCACAACCTGAGGTTCCACCTATGACTGCAGCTGATGGGGTTGACAGTGCAATATGTAGTGATTGTGTGCCTGTTGTTGTTAATGACACAAGTGCACCTGAGGTGGTTCCGAGTGCTACTAAGACTGATGTTATACCAACTAGCAGGAGATCTACTAGGATCATACAAGCTCCACTGTGGTTAAAAGAGTTTGTATCCTTGCCAGGTCACAAGGAAGTGAAGTATCCTCTGTGTAATTATTTGAGCTATTCTCATTTGTCAGCTAGCTATCAGTGCTATATTGCTGCTACTACACCATGCAAGGAACCTACCAGTTATTCAGAAGCTATCAAGGATCCAAGATGGGTTGCTGCTATGAAAGATGAAATTCAGGCATTGGACAGTAACCATACTTGGGAGATCACTGACTTACCACCTAGAAAGAAGCCTATTGGGTGTAGGTGGATATACAAAGTCAAGTATAAAATCTACTGGTGAGATTGAGAGGTTCAAAGCAAGACTAGTTGCAAAAGGTTACAGTCAAAGAGAAGGGATAGACTATAATGAGACTTTCTCACCTGTGGTTAAAATGGTGACAGTGAGGACCATTGTGTCTTTGGCTGCTTCTAGACATTGGCCTATCCATCAAATGGATGTTTTTAATGCATTTTTGCAAGGAGACTTGGAGGATGAAATCTATATGTAGCTACCTCCAGGTTTTGTCAGTCAAGGGGAGAAAGTATGTAGACTGACAAAGTCTCTATATGGACTCAAACAGGCTCCAAGGCAGTGGAATCATAAACTGACTGAGACTCTTCTTAAATTGAGTTTCAAACAAAGTCAATATGATCATTCTTTGTTCATTAACAAGTCAGAAGAGGGAATCATTATAGTATTGGTTTATGTGGATGATATGTTAGTAACTGGAAGCAGTTTGAAGTTGATAGAAGAAACTAAAAAGGCACTGCAGCTAACATTCAATATAAAGGATTTAGGGGAGCTAAAATATTTATTAGGCATTGAGCTTGTCAGATCAACTGAGGGTATACTAATGCATCAAAGGAAGTACATTCTTGAGCTTATTTCTGAGGTTGGCATGACAACAGCTAGACCTGCAGGAACCCCTATTGACATCAATGTTAAGCTAACTTCCAAACTGTATGATGATCACCTAAGCAAACAGCCAGAAGAGTTGGAGGATCCTCTGGTGGATCAGACTATGTATCAAAAGCTCATAGGCAAACTCTTGTACTTGAATATGACCAGACCAGACATATCATTCAACACTCAAACTCTAAGCCAATTTCTACAACAACCAAAGAAGTCTCACATGGATGCAACACTGAGGGTGATTAAGTATCTAAAGAGACAACCAGGGCAAGGCTTATTGTTATCAAGTGACTCAGATGAGCTAGTCTCTGCATATTGTGATGTTTGATTGGGCCTCATGCTCAATCACTAGGAAATCTGTTACAGGATACATGGTCAAGATTGGTAAATCACTAGTGTATTGGAAGGCCAAGAAACAAACGACAGTTTCAAAAAGTTCTGCTGAAGAAGAATATAGAAGTTTAGCTTTTACAGTCTCTGAATTGGTATGGCTACTTGGCATGCCTAAAGAAGTAGGTGTTGAGGTTCAACTGCCAAGTCAGATATATAGTGATAGTAAGGCTGCAATACAAATTGCAGCAAATCCTGTATATCATGAAAGAACAAAGCACATTGAGATTGACTGTCACTTCATAAGAGAGAAATTACAAAAGGGATTGATCAATGTGGATTACATTCCAACTAAGAAGCAACCTACTGATATCTTAACCAAAGGATTGACCAGATTACAGCATGATCATTTTCTATCCAAGCTTGGAGTGTTGAACATATTTGCCCCTCCAAGCTTGAAGGGGAGTAATGTGATGTGAAGATGAGCTACTGTCAGTTAGAAGTTAGTTAATGTTAGTTAGGCTGTTAAAAGTGAAAGGGTAGATCAGTCATTTTATAATAATTAGTTGTAACTACCTAGCATAGAGTTAGTTAGTAAGATTAGTTACAAGTCACAGTAAGAGAGTTATAAATACTGTGACTCACTCAATGTAATCTTCTTCTTCTTAATACAAAATATCTGAGATGCTCATGGAGCTCTCATTGTTGTTCTGATTGAGCTCTTTCGTTTTACCTTCACTTTGACCTTCAAGGTTTTCACACGGGGCAAGCTGCATCAAAAGTTGAAGACTACTCATTTTCAAGGTGTGTATTTTCTTTCCAGAATTGTCATCAGACCCAACAGTTCCAACTTTCTTTACGCAAGCCTAACCTGTTTTGTTGGTCGACTACCACACTGCAAAATAGATCTCGCCAATCATCTGTATTCCGTCGACTATGGTTATATGCTTCCTGCAAAAACTGGCGAAAGCTGGTGTGATTTACATGGAAAGGTGTGCCGATGATGTTGTGAAATAAAGATGTCCCATCGCCAGCTTCTGAAAGACGAAGGCCGTGAAATATGACTTTCTGAATGTGCTGATCATCAGTGCCATTATTAAGACTATATGACATAACATGTCCTACTCCAGCAATGCATGATTGTCTCCACAAGGGTATCAACCTCCTTTCCTCAAAATTACTCTGAGGATCTCGAAACTGGAGTTTTGGTAATATTCTTCCTGCTGTTGCATAGACTGGATGGACGCCACACTTTGTCACTTTTAACCCTCTGAATCCTTGCTCTCTGATATTGAACGAAAATGCAATTTGTTCTCTACCTTCTAAAGCAGGACAAAAGTAATCTCGTGGTATGAAGCTCACCCAAGAACGTTTGTCAGCGGTTACAGTAATCTTGGGGAAGTAAAGGACCCATGTAACTTTATTGGTCTGATCACCGACCTCTAGGAAAGGATGATAATGAAAAACTCCATTGTATTTGCACTGGTAGATAGACCAAAGGATCATTCCCTCGAAGTTATGTTCTATGTTTGGTGGCATTGTTAAGGTTATATTAGATCCTATGTTTCGGTTGCTGAACCATTCTGGAACCTCGCTACCTGCAATATAGTAGCTGCTTGGATAAGGAAGATCTTCATCACATTCTCCCATCTGTATAAAATAAAACATAAATGGTGTGAGTTGCACTTAATTGTAGTAGTACAAAGATGAGATGAATAGTGGAACTAACTAACCAGCTGGAAGAAACTTTCATCAAAGAAACGTCTTGCCAGCTTGCTACTGCTCTCTATGCGAACATATTCAACATTTTCGATATTTTCCATCCCCTTAATCTCGGACAATCTGTCGCAATTGGATACATAGAGTTGTGGCAGTATCCTGTAATTGGACATGTCTAGACTTTCAATGGATGAACAATCATTTGCATGGAGCTCTAGCAGATTAGAAGGAAGTAGTGAGAGCAATTTGAAGATTCTTGCAATTATCCAGGACAAGACACTCTAGCCCAGATAGGTCGCTAAAGAGGGATGATGGGAGAGTGTAAAAATCATTTCCTCCTAAATCCAGATATTCCAATGAGGTTAAACTCCCAAGATTGGTGGGAACATCTGCTTCTGAAAGCCTACAATTTTTGAGATTGAGCTCCGTCAAGTGACTTAAACGGGAAAGGGAATGTGGCAACAACCTCTCTGGACACGATGAACTACTTCCTGCCCATGGTACATAAGATAAAATAGAAGTCAGCCAAGATTGAGCCTTTAAACTTCTGTTGCATCCTTGTAATGATAAGCTTCTTAGCTTTTTCAAGTCTCCCAATTCAGCAGGCAGTTGTTATATTTAGATGTTGAAGTGATTCTAGCTTGCAAATGCTGCTTGGTAGATACACGAGGCTTACACAGTCTTTCAGATTTAAGTAAACAAGTTTCACCCAGTATTTTATTGATGAATCAATCTCACCCAACTCGGAGCAACCTGTAAACAATATTGTCTCAAGACTTATCGCCCTTGAAAAATCAGGAGTCCGCTTTAGTCGTTGACAATGACTGAGATTTAGATGTGTCAGGTTTTCCAGGGGCTGATACATAGAAACAATAATATATTCATTAGTATCTATAGTTCGTTTAATCTAAAATTGTATTATATCTAAACCTTGAAAAAATTAAAAAGAACAAGGGTATTTTTAGCAGTAAACCTTGCTGGTGGATTGCCAAACTTCCATGATGTTGCTATATTGCATGTCCAGAGCCACAAGTTTGGTTAGATGAATATCAGTAGGTAAACATTTCAAAGGGAAATTTTGCCAACTTAGCCATCTTAGGTCCTCAAACAAATTTTTGAAGCTTCCAGTAATATTCATTCCTTTTGCTTGAAATATTTTCAACCTATCCATTCTTGCAAAGAACTTTGTGTCAACAGTTAAATCTTTCACTCTGGGATGGATCGCGCTGATGCCTTCTATCCGTTCGCTACCCTGTCATCATAACAGTGCAGGATATATTGTTAGTCTTCTATTTATTCAGTTATAATTGCTTATTTTGCTTTTCAAAGAGCATAAAACATCATGTAATGATACTCTCTGTGTTTGGAAACGATTTAGCTTTAAACTTCTCGTTTTACCCTTACTGGAATGATTTCATAGTCAAATAAATGTTGTTAAATGTTTAAGACCAGAAGTCTCAAGTCATTTTTTTCTAAAACTTCCTTGTGCACAGTCAAATACCACCATCTAAATTGAAATGGAGAGAATATCAATATATGCACACACATATTCTATACTCCAGATCAACTAACAAATGTAAGAGACAATGGAAGGAAAGATGTTTTTTTTTACCTTGTTCTTTCGTAGCACATAATTAACATCTTCATGAAACCACAATCTAGAGCGCATATGAGGCTCTTTAAGTGACTCTTGACGAACAATTTCTCTAGCCATATCTCGAACTAAATCATGCATCCACAAATGATTCTGTTCAATTTTGATTAAACATCTTCCAATCAAAATTCCTTTCCCCAAGTTGAAAGAGCGACCACAACCAGTCAATACAAGACTAGCAAAAAGTTCTTGGGCTTCAATGAAAAAGCATGCGATGTCAAGGAAAATCTCCTCAGAGTTCTCATCAAGTGAGTCATAGCTTACTTTGAGTGCTTTGTGAATACTACTGTGATGAGCAAGATTTTTCAAGCTCTCGAGGGTACTTCTCCATGTTTGATCGTCCTTTTTATGCAAAAGAGAGCCCAAAACTTCGAGTGCTAAAGGAACCCCTCCACCTAGACTTGCTATGTCATTCACCAACTCATGATCCAAATTTTCGGGTACATTAGTATTCTTGAAAGCATGAAAGCAAAAGAGTTGCTTGGAAGAGAAATCATCCAACCGTGTTACCTCGTACTTATAGTCTACTCCAACATCATCTAGCAAATTCTCACTTCTTGTTGTTATAATTATTATGCTCCCCGAACCAAACCAGCTTCTCTCTTCCGCCAATGCTTTTATCTGGCTCATGTCATCGACATCATCCAGAACAATGAGGACCTTCCTCTGAGCAAGTCTGTCTTGGATTAGGCATTTTCCCTTATCAACATTATATTGGACTTTAAAGTTCTCTCTTTTTAGAACCTTAGATAGAAGTTGTTCCTGTAGGTTGTGAAGCATGTTATTTTCCGAGCGCTCTCTTACATGAGCCACAAAGGAGAAACATTCATACCCCCTGTGAATTTGATTGTAGACGGCTTTGGCAACAACTGTTTTACCAATGCCACCCATCCCATAGATCCCAAACATGCAGACACCAGTTGATGAGTAGAATTCACATAGAGAAATCACTCCCGCTGCATGAGAATTAGGCCCAATTACCAGTCCTGGAAGATGTATGCATGTGGGGTTTACTAACTCTAACACCTGTTCCACAAGTTTCTTGTTGAATTCTGCTTCATGCCTGAAAACTCAAACTCAAGACAAATTACTCTAATATCTAACCAAGATGACACGAAGGTATTTACCTTATATAGACTAGATTGTCTGTCTTTTTTTCTAGGTCAATTATCTATATTATAAAAATAACAGAGTAAGCATGTGTAAACTTTACTATTGCTTAACAGAATCCATGGAAGCTAAACCTTCATGGATGTGATTGTAAGCTTGAACTCGAATTAAGAAGAGAAGAGAGAGAGAATTTTTATTATCAGTAAAGTCAATTACAAATGAGAAGAAGCACAATCTTATATAGATCACACAATGCACACCATGTGCACACTCTAACAAACTTTCATACTAACTAACTGATGCCAGCTCATAGTTAGTTACATAACAAGATTCTAACTAACTTCTTCTAGAACTTTCAATATTCCCCCTCAAGCTTTAGTCTGAATATACATTGAAGACTCCAAGCTTGGCTAATAACATGTGATGAGAAGCTGCTCCCAGGCCTTTTGTTAGTATGTCTGCTGGTTGTTGTTTGGTGTTCACATAAGTAGGCAGTATCAGTCCACTTCTTATTCTTTCCCTTACAAAATGACAGTCAATTTCTATGTGCTTGGTCCTTTCATGGAAGATTGGATTGGAAGCTATTTGCATTGCTGCTTTACTGTCACAGTGCAACTTAACAGGAATTGTAACATTAACATTGAGTTCCTTTAACAGGCCAACCAGCCAAATTATCTCTGCAACTACACTGGCCATACTCCTATACTCAGCCTCTGCAGAGCTTCTGCTGACTGTGTGTTGCTTTTTGGACTTCCAAGATATGAGTGAATCTCCTAGCTTAACCATATATCCAGTCACAGACCTTCTTGTATTAGGACAAACTGCCCAGTCTGAGTCACAAAATGCTTCAAGTTCTAGACTTGTCTTGCTGCTCAATAATATGCCTTGACCAGGACTAGTTTTGATGTACCTAACTAGCCTCATAGCTGCTTCCCAGTGTGACCTTTTAGGCTGCTGCATGAATTGTGATAACACCTGAACTGTGAAGCTAATATCAGGCCTGGTGATGGTAAGATACAATAATCTCCCAACCAACCTTTGATAGCCTGTGACATCCTTGTGTATAGGATCATCAGTAACCCCAGTCATCTCATCATATTCCACTGTAGTGAGTTTCACATTTGCCTCCAAAGGTGTGTTCACTGGCTTTGAACCACTAAGACCAGTGTCTGAGATCAATTCCAGGGCATATTTCCTTTGGTTAAGGAGAATACCAGACTTAGATCTCATGATTTCAATACCTAGAAAGAACTTAAGATCACCAAGATCCTTCATTTTGAACTTGTTATGAAGTGAAGTTTTTAATTCTTGTATGAGCTTACTACTATTTCCTGTTATGAGCAAATCATCTACATAGATAAGAATCACTGCTATGTCTTGCCCATCCTTTTTTGTAAAAAGAGAATGATCAAGTGGACTTTGCACAAAACCAGTAGCTAAGAGTACTTCAGTGAGTTTCAAGTTCCATTGCCTGGAAGCTTGTTTTAGACCATATAGAGACTTAAGCAGCTTACACACCTTGTATTCCCCCTGTTTTTGGAAGCCTTGTGGCATTTCCATATAAACATCTTCAATAAGGTCACCTTGCAAAAAAGCATTATGAACATCCATTTGGTAGAGAGGCCAATTGTGAGAGGCTGCTACACAAATGGTGGTCCTGACTGTGACCATCTTAGCTACAGGTGAAAAAGTCTCATGATAGTCCAGACCCTCTTGCTGGCTATAACCCTTGGCAACCAGTCTTGCCTTGTACCTTTCAACCTGCCCATTTGCTTGAAGCTTAACCTTATATACCCATTTAGAACCAATAGCCTTCTTTCCAGGTGGGAGGTCTACTACAATCCAAGTGGCATTTTGTTCTAATGCATTGACTTCATCCTTCATTGCTACAATCCATTCCTTGCAGCTGGAAGCCTCCTTGAAAGTAGCAGGTTCAGACACTGCAGATAGTGTAGCTAAAAATGACTTGTAAGAGGGGCTTATCTTTGAGTAAGTTACATAGTTGGCAATAGGATAAAGGCAAGCATTATGAGCTTGCTTTGGGGCTGTGGACACATGATAATCTTTGTGCCAAATAGGAGGCTTGAGGGACCTGTTTGGTCTTGTGTTTAAAGACTGCTCAGGAATAACCATAACAGGCTCAGGCTCAGAACCTGCACTGCATTCTCCAACAGGCTCAGGCTCAGACCCAGCACTGCAACCTGCACTACATTCTCCTGAAGTTGAGCTGCCAGCTGGGCTGTCAATACAATCATCTTCTTCCTCTGTTGAATTGGTGACTTCATTGGAGATATCATGAGAAACTGCATTGTGTAATGGAACAGCCGGATTCATAGGAATTAAAGCAAAGTCTTCAGAAACATCAAAGTCTTGGGACCAACTATCAATATGTTGAGAGGATGCAGAAGATGAGCTAGTCATGAAAGGGAATGTATCTTCCATAAAGGTGACATCCCTGCTGATATGGAAAGAATGAGACTCCAAATCTAGTATTCTATAGCCTTTTTGTGTTTCTGCATAGCCCATAAAGACACCCTTCTTTGCCCTCGGAGCAAACTTATAAGACTGAGGAAGGACAGAAACAAAACAAAGACAACCAAATACTTTCAAGTAGTCTAGTTGTGGTGGAGTGCCATACAGTAATTCATGTGGAGATTTGCCTTGTAACACTGCTGTGGGAAGCTTATTGATCAAGTAGACTGCAACCTTGATACAATGACCCCAATAGGAAATAGGAATTGCAGCCTGAAACCTTAAAGACCTAGCAGTGTTTAATATGTGCCTATGCTTTCTTTCAACCACCTCATTTTGCTGGGGTGTGTATGCACAGGTACTTTGATGCACAATGCCAAAGGAAGCAAATAATTCCTTACACTTTGAATTCATAAATTCTGTCCCATTATCAGACCTCAACACTTTCACCTTCATGCTAAACTGAGTGTTTATCATTAATAGAAAATCTTTTATTACAGAGTAAACTTCAACCTTTGAATGAATTAAGCAAGCCCAGGTAAACCTGCTATAGTCATCTACAATTGTAACAAAGTATTGTTTTCTATCATAAGTGGGAGTCTGGTACGGCCCCCATACATCAACATGTAATAACTGGAATACAGTACTAGAGGTATGTGTACTATTAGGGAAAACTGGTCTACTTTGTTTTGCTTGAGGACAAATGTGACAACAAGACTGATCAGTTACACAACCTTTGATAGCCGAGATGTGTTGCATAACAGTAAGAGAAGGATGTCCAAGTCTTTGGTGCCACAATGATGTTAGACTGTTATCTTTGATAGCTGCATGAACCACTGCCTTTATTGTGTCTTTTAACAAGTACAGACCATCACATACTCTACCAATCCCAATCACCTTGCCATTTGAGAGTGACTGCATCACACAAAAGTTAGGGAAAAAGCTAACACTACAAGATAGGTCTCTAGTTAACCTTGCAACTGACAACAAGTTGTACTTGAAGTCAGGTACATGTAGCACATCCTTCACTTTATAACTTCCCAAAATGATTGAATTCCCTGTGTTTCTGATGGGAGCTTTATTTCCTGTTGGTAATTGAACAGTATTTGACCTCTGATCACCTAGGTAACTCAATTCAGCTAGAAGATCTTTAGAGGATGTAATGTGTTGTGTGGCACCTGAATCAATAATCCACCCACACTCATAAACATTAGATGTCAAAGACACATTACTTGCCAAGTTTGCTTTGCATTCAGTGCCATCTCCAGCACTTTGACTGCTATTGTTGTGTCTGAGATTTTTCACATGGTTGTACTCCTCCTCAGTAAGAGTAAGCCCATGTCCATGTTCCTCTGTTGCAGCATAATTTGCATGTGATTTGATACCAGAATCAACATGATAATTGTGAGAGAAATTGTTAGATCTGTGACCATTCTCAGTGCCATAAGCCATACTTTGCCCTATGTATCCAGTATTACTATCACCTTGCCCTTGTTTCCTCTTGCTCTTAAAATCATTAGGATATCCTATGATCCTGTAACAGTCTTTAGAAAGATGATTTCTATAACCACAATGTTCACAGGCAGTGTTTAGTAACTTTTTTCCTTTGAAACTTGACCTTCTATTCACCATCATTGTGAGAGGTTCCTTGTTGATATCCATAACTCCTAATGACCTTTGACTCTCCTCTTGTATAACTGTGGCATATGCCTGATTAACAGTGGGAACTGTAGCCTTAAGTAATATGTCACTCCTCACATGACTATAAGACTCGTTTAGCCCCATAAGAAACATTAATAGTCTCTGCTAGCTTAGATGTTGAATATAGGGCTTAGCCTCATCACAGTTGCATAAGGGAGCTGGTACCAACACATCTAGTTCATCCCATAAGTCTCTCAATTTCGAATAGTAAGCAGTAACAGAGTCAGTACCTTGTTTTAATGAAGAAACCTCTGCCCACAACTGATACACTCTGGTGAGATTGGATTTATCAAACTTCTCCTTGAAGTCATCCCAAACATGTTTGGCATTCGAAGCATAGACAATCGTAGTTAGCAATTCCTGAGCCACTGTGCTGCTGATCCATGAAAGCACCACTGCATTGCACCTCTCCCAGTGAGCTGCTAAATCTCCTTTGTATGAGCTTTTCAAACAGGATCCATCAACGAATCCAAGTTTATTCTTCACCAATAATGCAAGTCGTAGCGATCTACTCCATAGCCCATAGTTTGTTGGACCTGTAAGCTTAACCGCAATCAAGGTTGCACCTGGCGTATTCGATGAATGAAGATAAAGCGGATGATTATGTTCTAGGGTAGCCACTGTTAACTCTGCCATTACAGAATCAGTCGCTTTGTTATCTGATTGAAAACTATATGCAGCTTGTGAGATAGTCCCTATGTCGCTGCTTTGATACCATGTAAACTTTACTGTTGCTTAACAACTTTTATACCCTTCATAAACTAAATTTCTTCTAGAACTTTCAATAGCATGTTAAAATGCTAATTGTTTAACAACTTTTATACCCTTCATAAACTAAATTTCTTTTCCATGAAAGAAGCAAAATAAGTGTTGGATAAATTGTACCCCTCTGTCTCATTTCATCTGACTTACTTTCTTTTTAGCCAGTCTAAAAAAAAATGACACACTTCTATATTAAGTAACAATTTAACTTCAAAATGTTCACACAAATATCTTAACTTATTTTAGACCACAAGTTTAAAAAATCTTCTTTTCTTCTTTAAACTTCGTGTCAAATCAAATTAACTCATATAAAATGAGACGGATGGAGTAATATTTAAAATATCACTCAATATTAACTACAACTTTAATTCAACAAAGCTAGATAAATTTGGTGAAATATAATTTGTTGTAGACTTAATTTGACGTTCTAATCACCAACTTACAACTCCCCTTGTCTCATTTTATATGACTTACTTTTCTTTTCAGTCGATCAATTCCATAAAGAATGACATATTTCTATACTAAGTAACAATCTAACTTTAAAATGCTCATTTTAACCTCAATGAAATGATTTATAGTCACAAATATATATATATATATATCGAGTCCGGAGCCTAAAGGGCAAAAAAAATTGTCAAAAATTCCAAAATGGCACATCACTTTTTATTTTAGCCAAAAGGGTAAAATCGCTGCGTCAGCAGCGATTTTCCTCTGACAAAATGACGAAATAGCAGCGATTTCGTCTAAAAGATTTTTTTTTTATTAAAAATCGCTGCGATTTTGTAATTTTTTTAATTAAAGCTCGCTGCTTTTTCTTTAAAAAAAACTAAAACGGCACATCAAAAAAAAAAATTACCAAAAGGGGCTTCTAACAAAACAAAAATAAAAATCGATGCATATTTTCTCAAAAAAAAAAAAAACTTTTTTTTCTTCAAAATCGCTGCTATAGCAGCGAATTTGGTTAAGAATTTAAAAAAAAAGTTTTTCTTTTAATTTAATATTCTTTTATTATTATTTATGATATATAATTCAATTTCCTCAAACTTCAACAATTTTATTGAGAATACTGTCGTCTTGTTTATCATTTTTATATTATTAATAAGTAATAATAGGCATGAAAATAATAGCACTCGGAATGAAAAACGCTGCCCCTGCAGCGATGTGTAAGGAAAAAATAATTCTGACTTAAAATCGCTGCCACAGCAATTTTATTTTTTTTAATTTACAATGGCAGCGATTTTTAATAATAATAATAAAAACAAAATTTAACAAAATCGCTGCTGTGGCAGCGATTTTTAATAAAAAAAATTTTTTTTTTTTTTTTTTACAAAAATCGCTGCCACAGCAGCGATTTTTAATTAAAAAGAATATTTTTAGACAAAATCGCTGCTATTTCGTCATTTTGTCAGAGGAAAATCGCTGCTAACGCAGCGATTTTGCCCTTTTGGCTAGAATAAAAAGTGATGTGCCCTTTTAGAATTTTTGACAATTTTTTTTGCCCTTTAGGCTCCGGACTCTATATATATCTATTACTTATTTTAGACCACAAGTTTCATAAACTCCATGTCAAATCAAACTAACCTATTTAGTTCTTTTTCCTCTTAAAAAATAAAAAAGAAGAAGGCTTACTTGAAATTAAGTAAATGATAGCCTGCTATTTTCCCTGCCTCCACAAATGCAGCCCTCCATCTCTGAACCTTGTCCATATCATCTTTGTATTGTAAAAATGAATCAGCAAAAGGGGTATTTTGATGGCGCACATCTGATGGAGTCACATCATAGAAAACTGGAATCACTATCAGCTCCAATTCATTTTTACACTTTATGATGTGTGCAAGCTCCTCTAAGCACCATCTTGACGATTCATAACTTTTTGAAAATATCACTATAGCAATTTTAGACTCTTCTATGGCTTTTAAAAGTTCATTAGAAATTGATTTTCCCGTTTCTAATCGCTCATCATCTTTAAAAATGCAGATTCCACTTTGTTCCAGAGCCTTATGTAGATGACTCACAAAAGTTCTACGTGTATCTTCTCCTCTAAAACTCAAAAAGACATCGTACTTGCAAATTTTGGAAGAAGAAGCATGAGACATTGTTGAATAATATTGCTAAAGACCAACTCTCAGCTTTAGGTATATGGTGAGAAAGTATATTTAATTTGTTCTGCTACTTGATAAAGAGAAATATTTGAAGCCTAACTGACAAAAACTATTGTGAACGCAGAATAATGGGTAAACTTCCAATCATTTTCCTATCTGTCATAAAATTGAACCCTACCTTTTTCATTATTGTGAGAAATTAAAGAGTGAAAAAAGGTAGGCCTTTGCATCAATAAAATCACTCAATCAAATTCATCATTAAAAAAATTAACATGACAAAATAAATTATTTTTGTGGTATATTCATAATTAAAATAATAAATAAATAATTCAAAATTACTATTACATTATATAAAATAATAAAAGATAAATTTATCAATTTCATTTGATAAATTGATATTGATTCATTACTAGTACTTCATTACGAAATTTCACTAACACACCTCAACTACAATAAGGTCCTATTACCCCCTCCCGAACTCATTTTTTTTTTGTAATTTTGTATATCTTTTGGCTTACGTCGCACACTCTATGACTCCACATAATTGAGGTGTGTGGAAGATGCTTGGATGCCACGTAAGCCAAAAAAGTGTACAAAATTACTAAAAAATTGAGTTTGAGGATAATAAGACCTTAGTTTAGTTAAGGTGTGTATCTGAAATTTTGGTCATAGTCTAGGGGTACTTTTGTCTTATCCCTAGAATAAATAATAAATTTATCAATTTCATTTGATAAATTCACTACTAAAAAAACTGCGAATACCGACCTATAAATACCGACCTCCGGAGGTCGGTATTCCTTGAAATACCGACCTAAAACCGACATCCCAGCTTAGGTCGGAAAAAGCTTGGTCGCTATTCAATACCGACCTCTGGAGGTCGGTATTTACTGACCTCTCGAGGTCGATTTTTATTTTATGTCGGAATATTCATTTTTTTAAATTCCGACCTCTGGAGGTCGGTATTTTTATTTTTGTAATGTTGAAATGCCGACCTCCGGAGGTCGGTATTTTTATTTTTTGTAATGTTGAAATTCCGACCCCCGGGGGGCGGGATTTTTTTTTTTTTTT